TGATCCTCTGGTGTGTGGAAACCGGTCAGACACCGAGTAAGTAAACATGAGTCTCTTACATTCACTGACAGCAACAACAATAAAAACAAACTGTTTTTTATGTGTTCAGGTGCTGTCCAGATGGTTTCACCTGTGTGAAAGCAGGAAGTAACCCAAACTTCGGATACACCAGCTACGACTCGTTTTTCTGGTCTCTGATGTCACTTTTCAGACTCATGATGCATGACTTCTGGGAAGGCCTGATGCAGTTGGTCAGTAACTCACTGATGACCACATGCAGGCTCCTCCCAGTACTCCGGTTGTCTCATCTGTTTCTCTCACCTGTCTGTCCCTTTGCAGACGTTGCGAACTGCAGGAAAATCCTATCTGATCGTCTTTCTGTTCGTCTTCTTCCCGGGTTGTTTCTTCCTGCTCAGTCTCATTTTGGCAGTGGTTGTTGTGACACGAGCGGAGCAAGAAGAGACTCGAGATGCCGAGGCCATACAAAGAGAAGAAGAGTTCGGACGGATTGTGGAGGTGCTGAAGAGGAGAGAGGAGGAGGAGGTCAGTAAGGACTCATTGCTTCCACAGGAATTAGGAGGGCAATGAGCAGCCAAATACTAATCAAGTCTAATCAGATTTAGTTCATTGGTTGGTCATCAGTAAGTGTGTGCACCTCTTTAACAGCAGATTTTGTCAGTTTCCTTGTCGAGCATCCAGGTGTGTGCTAACACAATACCACCTTCTGTCCAGGACTGGGTGCTGCACCTTCAAAAAAACAAAAGAAGGAATCAATGATCCACACACGGGAATAAAGTTGCTTCTTATTTGCTGAACCTTGTGTCACATGTTACAGGTGCAACTTTTTTACGTCTACCTAACTTACAGCCCTCTCTTCTTCTAAATTCTTACGTTTATCTCGACTTCTGGAACAGACTCAACACCGCTGTTGGGTCTGCGCTACAGCAGGCCCGCTGGTTCACACTGATTCCTGTAAAGAAGGAAATACAGAACAGCAATCGATCGGTTTTCACATGCTACAGCAAGGGGAGGATCTCGGGGCAGCCCTTCTGCCCTCGAGCTCAGATTACTCCAAAGAACCAGCCCCCGCTTGCAGCCTTTTTTTGTGTGACACACAGTTTACACAAGCACCCATTGTAAAAAACCCCTATGGTCACAAAAGGTTAAAACACTGCGTGTATGTGTGTGTATATGCATGTGCGAGCATGTTTGTGTGTGTGTG